GTCCCCAGCCTGTGCTGGTGTCTGGGGTTATTCCTCCCCAGGTGCAGGACCTTGCACTTGGCCCTTGTTGAATTGCAAGAGGTTTTTCACCGCCCAGTTGTCCAGTCTGTCCAGGTCCCTCTGGATGGCAGCGCAGCCCTCTGGGGTATCGGCTACTCCTCCCAGTTTCGTGTCATCAGCAAACTTGCTGAGGGAGCACTCTGTGCCTTCACAACTGCCACACATGACTCTGAGTTTTGAGGGAAGCGGCCATGTTGTGACCGGGAGCGACGCAGCAGAGCGGACAGGCTGTGTTTCCACTGCGACGCGGCGGGCCGCCCCCTCGGGTTACGCTTCTTCCCCAGCCCTCAGGGTGCCCCCAGCCCGTTTGCACAGGCTGTGCGGTGCCAGGGCTGGGGCGGCCTGCCATGGGGCAGAGGTGAGTGGCCTCCCTGTGGCAGCGTGGCACTCGCTCCTCCTCCACTGCGCATCATTTCCCAGGGCCACAGGGGATGATGCCAACGGCATCGTCCACCTGAACCACAAAGAGCTGACTGAACCTCCCTGGGCCTCCCCACGCTGAGGCCCCACGTCCCTTTCCAGTTGTCCATCTCTTTCCATGCCTGGCGCTATGGCTGCAGGCGCTCATGTTTCCAAGAGCATGAGCCTCCCTGAGGCGCTGCGCAGCCATGGGATTCACTTGGATTGCACCAACAGGTTCAAAAGTGACGCAGCAAGGCCTGGCAGACTGGCAGATGGATGGGCAGACACCGTAAGCGCAGTAGTCTTGTTTCCTGAGGAAACAAAACTAAAAATAGGGGCCCTCTCTCTTCTTCTTTTCATCCCTCTCCTCTTTTTTTTTTCCCCCCCTGCTTTTCCCTTGGCTCCTCATTGGCTCTCTCTCCACTCCTTTTTAATGGCATAAAGGTATTGCCAGCTTTTTCTCATTTTTATTGAGCATGGCACAGTGTTAGCCAGGTTTTCCTTAAACCTGCAGCTTCTGCTGTCAGCATCTACTTCGTCTTGATGTCAAACATGGCTTAAAAGGGCCAGCAGGCTCACCAGTTGCTGCAGAGGGGGTCTGGCAAGCGAAGTTGGCCATATGATACGTATTTCCTTGATGTGCTGGCGACATTTTCCTGTTTTTTTTTTTTTTTTTCCTCCCCCAAAAAAGAGTCTTGCTGCCTGAACGCAGAGGGTGGCAACACTGGCTTGCATGCTAATGCTTCCACCCTATGTTTGCTGGCATCTGGTCCCGGGCGCACTTTGACTGCCCCATCTTTGCCTACCTCTCTTGGGAGGTTTCTCCCTGAAGATCAGCCATGTCCCTGCACACATCCTTGGTGAGTGTGAACTTTGTGCCCAGCCCCTAGCTCTACTTGGGTGCATGCCTGTGTGCCTGAACTGAGGCATTTAAGCAAGCTGAGCCCTGTGTATTGTGCCAGTAGTGCTTAATCCCTTCAAACCATTGCCTGCTTGCCAGGGACACACTGGTACAGATGCTGAACTGTCAGTGATCGTGGGATGCATGCACGGTCTTCAGATTCCCTGAGCCTGATGCCCACCAGGTTCGTTCAACCTCCAAAAGACACCGTTGTTCCATGTGTGCCCACCCAGCTGTGTGGGCTCCCCTTCTTGGGGCCGCAGCCCCGGGCCGTGCCCTGGATTCCCATGTCCCGGCACACAGAGTCCTTCTTTCTCGGTCCATTAGTTTGTTTCCACTGCCATATCCAGTAACAGGCTCCAGACTCTAAAAGCTATATTAAAAGGCAGGTCAATACCAGCCCATGTTTATTCCCTCCAGGGAAAGTAAATGAATAATAAAAAGATGGAAGGAGGGGCTTCATTAATTAGCAATGAAGAGGAGAGGTGGGACAGAGATTCCCATGGGAAAATAAGTAGAAAATGAGGCCGTGTTTCAAGTCATACATTGAAAAGCCAGGATTCATGAGCTCCTGTCCCCACTCTCTGCAGAACAGGAGGAGAAGGATGAATGAATCATTGCTGTCACACTCAGAGAAGCATCAGAAACTATTTCCTTTCCATCCTCTCCCCCTCTCCTGATGCTCTTCTCTTCAGCTGTCACCTGTCTGCTCCTCTTCCATCCTACTGCTTGTTCCTCTTTCTTTCTCTCTCCTTGAAAGGTTTGCCAAAGACCTGAATTTGGAGAGCCTGGTTTCAGATCATTGTTTAGGATGCAAATTAAACCGGCACATTCAGAGTCATGGTGTGCATGCAGGGCAGCTTTCCACAGTAACAGAACCTACATGCCAAAAAAGAAAAGCCAAGTCTGGGCCCAGACCCATCCTGTTAGTCTATCCCTGTTCCTTCTCAAACACTCTGCCATACATATTTCCTCATTTTCCCTTCTTTTCCTTCCTCCTTCTTGGCCTGCCTGCTGTGTCTGCTTCTCCCGCTCCTTCTATTTCCTTCTTTTCTTTCCTGTTTCCTCCTCTCTTCTCTTGCTTCTTCTCCTAATTCCAAAATGATACCAAGATGCTGATTTCATGTTTTGTAGATTAGGGATTAAAGTGTCAGATCATTCCTTCAGCCAGTTCTCCATAGCACAACTCTTGGTTGTCAGAGCCACTCTTTAACTACCTGCTTATCTTTCTGTCCTCATCCCCTTTGCAGTTTTGAAGGAATGTTTATGCTGCTCCCAAAGGAAAGGAATCTTCACATTTTCATGTCTTCTGTGAAACAACAGCAAAGCGATGCTACATTTCTAGCTCTGGCTGACGCCCTCCCTCCAATTCCCCCAGTTCTCATATGCCTTCTGGCAGAAGTTTTGTTTTGGTTTTGAACCCTACTTCTAGAGCAGTGTCTTGTATGTCTCCGCCTCTTCACCAAGCATATCTGTAACCCAGCTGGTCCTTCCTCAGGCAAAACTCCTGTCGTTTCCAAGCTGAACAGAATGGAAATGTTTGACCCATCGCTGCTGATAATTTTAACACAAATGCTTCCCTCCATACATATATTTTGTATCCAATATGTCTTCTCCCAGGGCAAATTCTTTGAACCTCTTTGTGTAGGTCTTTTACATAAAGGTTTGCAACATACTGGAGCTCATACTGGAGCTTCCAGGCACTAATGCCATGCAAACAGCGGATGCTAGCACTGAAACCACTCATCAGTCACTAAACTGGCCTGCAGCCTTGGGGTTGCTCTTTTGCTTTTAAACCTCCCCCTGGGATATTAGACTTTATTAAAAATAAATAGTTACAAATTCAGTTTTACAGCTGATGGCAGCAGGGAGAAGAACAAACAAGGTGAAAGGGACAAGTAGAGTGTCTGCTGTCCAGTCAGGTCCGCTGTCTGTTGTCTTGGCGGTGCTGTGCCAGTGAGCAGTTTGAGTGTGCAAACATAGGGCCTGCCTCCTTTACCAGGCATCTCGGGAGAGAAGCAGAAAGTGTTTTGCAGAAGGACTGGGAGAACTGTGTGTGATTGTGTAGAGTTAAGCTGCTTCTGGAAATGACAGATGCCAAAAGCCAAGGAGAGTGCAGTGTAGGCTACATAACAGTGTCCTTGTCCCCCTAGCTTGGCATTTACAGTGGAAGAATATGGATTTCAGTTCTTGATCTGTTGTATATACAAAAAAAGAGGAGTCATGTGCAACAAGCAATAAACATGCAAGTAAACCCCTCCCGCAAGATCCTTCCCCATTTGCTCCAGTATACTTAAACTCTCCTGTCCATCCTCATCTGGTCATTGCTTAAATATCACTCCTCTAGTGACAGTTACGACTCTTGTTAGCCATGGGGCCTACCCATGTTTAAAGGGGACAGAAAGTCTGTCATTGATTAAGCAGCAGAACCAATTGCTGTGGCTCCCAGTCTGTCTGTAGAAGCATGGACTCTGTCACCTCTCCAGAGATTATAAACCAGATGTGCTGCTCTCCTGTCTCTGGTCAGGAAATGGGTCCTAGCACAAACACTGGAAGGAGGGTAGTGTATCTTCCCTTCCAGGTAGTATGTCTTTATGGGAAACGGAGTATGTCAGAGCAACTCCAAGACTTGATGTACTCAGGGGCTGAGAGGTGGTCACGGGAAGCGTTTTTGGTAGGAAAGGGACTTTTTCATCTATGTAAGGGTGCAGAACAGAGGAGGAGATGGAGGGCGACAGTTGAGGATTGGGGAGGCAGGAGGAGTTAGATGGCTGACTCCCTGCGGTACGAGATTGTATCTAGGGGCAGAGTTGCCTGGAGCCGCTCCAAATCCAGATGGCTTCCAAAATCCATCATCTGGATGACACCTCCCTCTTCTTTTGTGTTGCCTCCTAGTGCCACACCCACTTCATCGTCATCTTCATCTTCATCTTGACTGACAAGAGCCAGCTCATTCTCATAGCAGAAGGCACTGGGAGGTGGGGGAGAAGGTAGGATAGTCATCTTGCTTTCTTGCAGCTCTCGAGCTGAGCAACAAGGTGTTCCAGCCACCTCATAGGTTTTGTGAAAGCGTGAGTAATCCACCTTGTAGTGGTTCTTCTCCTCAAACACAACTGGCTCAAAACGGTGGCCCCAGAGGATTTCACTAGCAAGATAAGAGCTTCGTGCCTGCGTGGTCATGGCTGTGGCTTCTACCATTCCCTCCAGGATAACAACAATCTCAAAGTTTTCTGTCTCCAGCTCCTCCTTCCCAATCCCATAGAGTGGGCTCTCCTCATCAATCTCATGAACAATGATAATGGGTGAAACCAAAAATATACGGTCAAGGCCCACATCGTAGCCCACATTGAGATCCCGCTGGTCCAAGGGAAGGTATTCCCCTTCCTCTGTCATGTAAGGTTTGATGAGCTGAGCCCGGACATGGGCCTCCACAATGTGACTCCTCCTCAGGTTGCCTACTCTCCACATGAGGCACAGTTTGCCATCCCGCACAGAAATGACAGCATGGTGACTAAAAAGGAGGGTCTGGGCCCGTTTCTTGGGCCTTGCCATCTTGGCCATGATGGTGCCAATCATGAAGGAGTCAATCACACAGCCTACGATGGACTGAACCACGACTGCCATGATGGCCAATGGGCACTCCTCAGTCACACAGCGGAAGCCATATCCAATGGTTGTCTGGGTCTCCACTGAGAAAAGAAAAGCCCCTAGGAAACTGTTCACATGCATGATGCAGGGCTTGAGGAGAGAGGGTCCCCCTGCCACTGCTGGTGTGTTGAGGTCACCATGGAAGAAAGCAATGCACCAAAAGAGAAAGCCAAAAAAGAGCCAGGAGACCAGGAAGGCGGCAGAGAAGATCATGAGCATGTACCGCCAGCGTGTGTCCACACAGGTGGTGAAGATGTCAGCCATGTAGCGCTGAGATTTGTTGCTCAGGTTGGCAAAGTAGACGTTGCACTGGCCGTTCTTTTTCACAAAGCGGTTGCGGTGCTTCCGCCGGGGCGCATGGCCCTTCCCGTTCCGGCTGTGCCCATTCATGCTGCCCAGTGCAGAGATTTTGTGTCCATCCTCTTCAGTTGAGACAATGCTGTATCTGGAAGAGAAGAAACAGACGTTTCACGTAGAAATATCTAAAGAACAACAAAAACTGAGACAGCGAGGGCAGGAGGAACATGGATGGCCGGCAGAACAGGGTGCATGCTTATGGCATGGTAGTGAGGGAGTTCATGGCAGCATGTGTCCTTGGTTGTTGCATGAGGATGCTGCATTGGCCAAACTGGTGGAGCCAAGCTGCAATATTTGCTGTGTTGCTACCAGGAGGTTAAATCTAATCTTAAGTCCTGATAGGGCAGTAAAGTAAGAGAAACTTGCAGCACTATGCTACTTTTTGGCTTTTGATCTCAGGAAGGACACCAAGGTTTTGAATCATGACAGCAAATGGATTGGCTAAGAAACTTAGGAGCAAGTGCCTGGCGTCTAGTAACATTTTAGCCCTGAGATTATATAAGGCTAGGAGTCTCTATTTTCTCCTCTTCTCTCCCCACTGATTTCATTGTGTATCTGTGACAATGTTTATACACTTTCTGCATTCAGGACAATTCTGTTGCTACAGCAACAAGCGTGGCTCCAACATCCCGCATCCACAGCTAAAGGTGTAATTTGGAGATCAACAGCCAAAGCGTTGGGAGCAACTCCCGCCTTTCTGGGAGCTGCTTGCCCCTGCCGCTCCCCTCCCTTGCAGATGGCGTCATCCCTTCTCTTTTCCTCCACCAGCAGAAAGCAGCTCCTGAGCACTCACACACAGCTTCATCTAAATTGACAGATATTCCTAGAGAATATAGGCGCAGAAGATGCTCTGACCCCTGAGGATTTGAAGCAGCTGCCTTCCAAGCGCAGGGACCCACCAAAATGACTGTCCCCTCATGACCACCAAACTTTGGCCTCCCAGGAACCTTGAACTGGCAGGACCTCCTCTACCCCCAGCCCTCTCCCAGCGCTGGCATGTCAGCTGAAGTCATTCACCACAGACTCCTTCGCCCTGCTGCCAGCTACTCCTTACTTAAATGCGATAGTTTCTTCAGGACAGCCCAACATCTCCAAAATCATTCACCTTTCTCTTTTCATTGGAAAAG